TATACATAAATATATATATATATATATATATATATATGCATGCATATATATATATATATATATATATATATATATATAGTGTAATGTGTAGTATATTTTAAATAATATGTTTCTTCTCTTTGCATGTGTTGATGCCTTCCAGCCGCATCATTGATATTTTAATTTTGTTTGTTAATATTATTTATATTATCTCTACGCATTGTTTATATTATATTTTTATTTATATTATATTCATTAGTCTATTTTTTTTATTGTTTTTATTTTATTTATTTCTATGGCTTTTCTCATACAACACCCAGTATACAGGCAAAGACCCAGGGCCCCCCGTGCTGCATGCATGCGCTAGCAGTTTATACATTTTTTATTAAACCCTCACTGGGCCCCCAGCGCCCAACCTGCATGCAAACCCTAATCCCTAAACCCTAAACCCTAAACCCTAAACCCTAGGAAAAGAATAATGAGCCCCCGCTCTACACACCCTTCTATACTATGCTGCCCAACGGTTGTATATTTTAGTTGTTTTCACTACAAAAGAAATAATAATTAAAAAAATTAAGTTTATATAACAACACGAAGGAGGCAAATGTTTTAAACCTGAGCTGTCTGTACACCGCATGCGCGAGCAAGTGTTGCATATATGCTGTTGCTGCTGCAATATATCTCCTTATCCTGCTATTCTGTATTAAACAAATAAAATTTATTTATTAAATTTAAATAAATAAATATATATTTAATATTTTTTTCTACTTATCTCTACTTGTTTGCACACGCATGCACTGCAGCAGCGGCTTCTGTTGCAGTCTCGTGAGTGGGGCGCCCATGATGGGGCTGTCAGCAGCCGCCAGCATCGCAGCAGCAAAAGAAATACCGTTTGTTCGGCTTTTTCTCTTCACCACTGGAGAAAAACTTTGATATTTCGCTAATTTTCCTTCTTTTTTGCATAAACGGGGGAAAATGGCGTTCAAAAAGGTGCGCATACACCCCAGAAGACCGCCGCAGTGTACATGGAAACCTGCATCTCCTTGAGGCCTCCCCGCACGGATATTTCGTTTTATTTTCTCCTTTTATTTATTATTTTTTGTTTTTTATTATATTTATTGTCTACTATTTCCTTTAATGTTTCTTTTTAAGTCCTGAGAGGCGGCTGCGGATGCCAGCAGGCTGCGATCCTGCTGCAGCACGAGAGGGGCAGCTGCTGCTGTGTTTCGTCTGTGTGTGTATATGCTTCTTGCTTTTGTTTCACTTCCGTCAATGTTGTTTGCTGCTTCATATAAACCCTCCTGTAGCTGATCTGCTGCTGCAGCACTGCAGCAACAGCTCGATAGAGGGGAGAAGCTCAGGGGCAGTGAATATGAATATATGCGGTACACAGCAGCAGCAGAAACGAAATACACTTTTCAGTTGCTGCTCTGTCTTTGTTAGTTTTAGCAGAGACAGAAAACAATTGGTTTTGTTGCTGTTGCTGACGCTTGTGTATGCTCGTTCTGCTGCGCTGCAGCAGCAGCATCGGCTGCTGCTGCGCATGCAGCGTGCATGCATGCGCGTGTGTGTTTTCTGCTGTTTCTTGTTTTTGTGAAATTTTTAATGCATGCGTTTGGGGCTGGGTTTTGCTGTGCATGCACTGTGCATGCAGGTGGTGGTTATCAACTG